CTTTTTGAAACTACTTCAAAGGCACTTAGCAATACTAAGAGCTACTTGTTTGATACAAACATCCCAAACAATGTAATAATAATAAGTTCTGGGACATACAATAGTAGACACTCTTCTTACAATGGTCATTGCACCCATTTGAATATCATTGCAAGTGTAACTGATTCAAAAAGCACATTAATGTACAATTTTTGACCCTCTTGTTGACTAGTTTTATTTTTAGAGAATACCCCGTTGGCACCTTAGGTAGTCCACAGGGGCTCTCAGGTGCCCCTGGTTTACAGGGGTCACCATTGTATTGTAAAATATGTACGGTAAGTTATTGACAATGTGGCCAGTTTCCAACTGGGCCAATAAAATTCCTATCTAAAAAGAGCACAAGTACAGAGTAAAATGGGACTAAAATGTTTGTATAGTTTTTATTTAACAGAAAAATAAAAAAAATGTACATTCATATGTAAAATACTTTATTTTAGCCAGTTTAAATTCTGCCATTGTGTATTCAGTAATGGGGTGAGTCCTTGCTCGTGTCAGTCACTATGGTTTAGGCCTTAAACTAGTGTTTAGAGCTCTAAATGGTGCATCTACTAGTCTGTTCTGTGTCCGAGAGACAATATTCAGAGGTCAGAAATGTCACATTTTATCGTTTGAGCATTAAAACAATGTCTGTGTCTTATTTTCTGGGTGTGTGTACGTGTGCACACAGAACAGATGGGGGGTGGGCAGGACCAAGGTTGTCGTTCTGGTAAAATAGTGCAGTTTAAGTGCAGCACTTTCAGCACTCTGAGGATTGGCCACCTTCCCGCCATCTCGCATATTGCGACCAAATTACATGAAAAAATACAGCAAAGTTGAACAATCCCTGAGTTCAGCCCTCAATGACCCGGTGCAGCGCGATTTTGCTTCAATAACAAGTCACCTGTTTTTGTCCAGCTTTTTCCTCTCTGACTGACTAGATTTGCACGACAGACTGTTGCCCTCATGTCTCTCCAGGCCCTTGCTGTGGTTTTATGGTTTTTATTTTGAAAGTCACCATTGAATGGGGCTTCTCTAATGGTTTGTGAGAGCGGAGTGCGCTTCCTCTCAGCCACACTTTCTTCATTTTATCCCCCACCTCCCTCTCGTCTTCATCCTCAGCCTTTTTCCTTTCAGTCTGAAAGCCGAGCAGCTTGGCAGGCTTACAGCTCAGAGCTCAAGCACTGCACGGCAGCCTGGGCCACCTACCACAAATTTTTATTTTTTATTCCCCAACCGTGGCTTGGATAAACCCCTCCTTTTACACCTGTCTTGCACACAACCACAGGGTCCTCCTGATTTTTTTGTAGATTTTTTGGTCGCCCAGGAAATGTTGATTTGTATTGTAGAAAGTGATGGCCAGGGAAAAAGGCTGCAGCTCTTTAGGTTTTTATGCCTACCGAGCCTCCTGCCTATCTCAGTGTGCGTAGCTGGGGCTCCAGTGAGGCAGCAGACAGCACTGAGGAGGACTGGGACACACACACTGTCACAGCTTGAAGGAGAAGTTAGGAAGGCACAGAAAAGCAAGTTAATTTTTGGGGGGCCAATTTTTTATTTTTTCTTGAATTGGGATCCAAATCCCCCTTCCTCCCTTGACACCCCTGACACTCACTCTTCCTAGGAAAGGAGCTGGTCAGGCCTTTTTTTTCTGTCTCTCTGTCTGTATTGTAGAGTGGGTATGTTCCCAGTGACATGTGGATTGGATAGTGATGCTTCTTTTTCTTTTTATTGTCATTGTCTAGTCGTCCTGTAGTGAAAATGGTGTTCATTGTGTTGTGTGTTTATTTGAATAATGTGCAAGTGCTGGTTCGTGTTTGATTTGTGTCATTGACACTTTTAGAAGTAAATTCACAAAAACTGGAGTTGAGACAGATTTGGAACTAGATAACTGCCAGTGTATTTTTGTCAGTTGGTACCTTCAATTTGGACGACAGTGTCTGCACTAGGTGGTAAGTTGACCTTTTTGTTTTTAACGGATTCTGTTGCTGTGCCTTCAGAAAAAGCAGCAGGCCAGAGGAGGGTGGTTCTTCCCCGCACTGCTTTTACCGCACTTTTTCTACAACTGTAGTCCCCCTCCAACTCCCTCTGTCTCTCTCTCTCTCTCTCTCTCTAGCTATCTCTCTCTCCCTCTCTCTCTCTGTGTCTCTCCTCTTATCTCTGTTTATTTCTTACTGTCTTTAAATAAATGTAGAAGTCGGGGTCTAAATATAACAGTTGTTTCCCGGTGCTCTATTAGCTGACAAGACCTCTTGTGTAAACTCCACTTGCCTTGGCTAATATTTTTTTCTCATTGACCATGGAAGATATCATTTGATCAGTAAGAGGCTTCGGCTTCTGCAGTGTATACCTGCTGTTTCACTACTTTATCAATCAATTTTAATATTTGTTTGTTACTTAAGTCCAACTGTTGGCTGAAAAAGTGAGGGTAAATGCTTATAAACACATTGATAGTTTAACTTGAACTGATTATTGGACAAATACCAAACTGAAGCATCACCATCGTTAAAAAGAAAATTCTGTTCCCCAGTTTTGTGATGCATTTCATCGGGCACTTCAACTTTCAACATTGTACAACATACATATTTTAAACTAATTCAAAATGTTATTAATGTTCCTTTTTTTGACAACATATAGAGTTATTTGTTCTTTGATATTAGCATAGCAATCTGACTTTTATATTGCTTGTTTGTTCAAGCCACAAACTTAATATTTGATTGTGTATTGTTCCTTGATTTTAATAAATTATATTCCAAAGTAGCCCTAAAACTTAAAACCTAAACTTAGCCCTAAAAATTTTGAGATACATTGTCTTTGGCATATGTACAAAAAAATGGTAACGGTATGGGCATGTTTTTTCTTCTCCCAGCTGTAAATATTGGAATATAAGATGAAAAATTGTCAATTGAAAGTACAACAAAAATGTACTTTAAAACGTATTAGGAAAAATGCGATGTAGTAGTTAGCACTGAGAACTAGCAAGAATATTGTTGCTGTTCTTGCTCAGGCATTCAATTATTGGGTGAACATGCAAAATTCACATAGAACAGGCATTCGGTTATTGGGTGAACATGCAAAATTCACATCATGTCTGAATGTTAGTGTGAATGGTTGTTTGTGTGTACTGTGTCCGTGACCCTACAGGTGGACTGGCATTCACCATTAGACCGAAGACATCCATTTGGCAATGACAGGTTCAAAGAACTCATATTATTAGCGCGAGGGTTGTCAGGAGAACCATTTACAAAGAGAGGCTTGAAAATAATAGAAAATTCATCCACTTTATTCTACCTCTACATTCGTGGAACAAGTCAATTTTGTTGCTGCCGTTTTTAATTTAATAAAGTGCATGTGTAAAATGGATAAAGCAGGGGACAACGATTTTTTTCACATAACACATCGGCCTCCTGTTGACAGTGAGAAAGAGAGACACAACTTTTTATAGAACAACATTGTTCAACATTGTTATGGATTATTTCCTGTGTCTCTAATCTGTCTCTTTTATTATTCCAGAGTCTCTTTCATAACATTTTGTTGAAGGTAAGAAGCTGCTTGATTATTCACAATATCTCGTTTAATTTCACTTTTAAAATCAGAATCTGTCAGAAAAAATATTAAATATTATTTAAAAAAAACATACAGGCTTTTTCCTTTTAACAGTCTCAACATAAATGTTATTGTGTCTTTTTTTCTCTTTTTCAATGTCAGATGGAGGCAAAGAGCATATATGCCCAGGGGGCGCTCTAGCAGCACATCATGATTTGCAGATCTGAACTTGAATCACTCCAAATCATTGTGTGCTGCCACTGTGAACCCTGGCTCCACAGCGCCCCCCCAGGAGCTGCTGTACTCCATGTTTCTTATACTTATGACTTAAGTGACTGGCTACTTCCTTTGAAAGGTAAACGCTATAGGAGCTGGTCGTTGCTCTGCGTGATTTTTATTGAATTTTTTCCCCCCAGTTTTTCTCTTGTAAACCAAGAGTATTTTCTTCTTGTCAGTATCAGTTTTTCAACGTATTTCTTATGCTGTGTATTTTAAATATGATGGAACTGAGCAAATGAGAAACTAGACGAAGTTTTAACACCGGACGCTGACATATTCTGACTTCCAGGTTTTTTGTTTTGTTTTGTTTGGGGGGTTGTTTGTTTTTGATGTTTATAGCTTGTGGGTTTGTTTGTTTTTGATGTTTATAGCTTGTACCAAGTGTCTACCAGGAAAATTGTAATTATTCTTTTTAGACTTAGAACCCAGCTGCAAAGCTTCATCTCCATGTGGCGACACATGCTATTTCTGGCTCTTTTGTTAATCATTTTAGAATTAAAACCAGTTCTAGATATCAGAGTTGAATTTAACAAATATTATACAGTATAATACCTATTAGACCTAGGTAGACTAGAGCGTTTTGTTGTTTTTTTTTTCACGGGAGGGGTGTAAAGCATTTCCAAACTACTGTATATTTTAGTTAAAGACTACGTGGTGGCGTGGTGGTTGGCCCACTTGCCATACAGCAATTAGACCTCTGGTTCACCATTCACCACATGCCTTTTTACACAGCGCTGCACGTTCTCTGCATGTGTGCATTGGATTTTTCTAGCCAATTGCACTCCCCCAGCTAAACAATGCATGAATGTGAGCCTGAAAGGTTTGTGTTTTTCGGACCAGGACATTTTTTTGGAGTAATTGTTAGTAGTGTGAGAAGCAGCAATCACCAATAAGCAAATTTTGAGTAATTGTTAGTAGTTTGAGAAGCAGCAATCACCAATAAGCAAAAAAAAAACCTACCTTTTTTGTTTTACAAGTACTGTATTATAAAAATGGGCTGTAGTCATGATGAGTAGAGAGTGAACAACTCAGTCCGTCAAACTAGGCTGTTAAATCTTTTAAGAATGTGGCTAAGGCTGTCCAAGTTGCTCTCATTAGCCTATAGGCTTTGCCTTGTGTAAACCTAAAAAAAGCAAGCAGCCCACCTCGCATTACACTGTGCGGAATTGCACACCTGTGAAAGCATGCTATAGCTCATTATTTCAGAAAGACATCTAATTATCTCTATCTGTTTTGTCCAGTGGATAATCTGGGTTACTGTCTATGGCAACTGGTTGGTAGTGATGCGTGGATAAACAGCCCTACAATTTATATTGATGTAAAACAGCTGTGATTTGAGCCTTGTTTTGAGAATAGTAATAATATATTTACTGTCAGTACCACAGCTGAAAGTAAGATTTCTAAATGCAGACGCATTCAGCAATTGTTTAAATATTTTTTTAATATATATATAATGAATTAATGACTAATCCAATGGCTGCTGGAGATTACATTTGATTAGAGTAGATTAAACTTTATAGTTTTAAATTGTTTTATGGCAGTAAGGACTGTATAAATGAAAAAGGCCTATTGAATGCAGAGGAAATATAAAATAAGAATGTAATATAATGTTAAAATAAAAGTAGGAGAATACCACTTTAATTGACTGTTTGAAGATATTTATACATGAACAAAATATGTTGCCCTTTAATCATTGACAGATAAGGATATACTGCAGGTGTGTATCACTATCTAAAGTTGGCCCCCGTTACTGACACAGTAGTACAAGTTACAGTATATTTTAATGTTATCCTTCATGATATGTTTCCAGCATTGTCTATTTTTAGCTTGTCAGTATGGAATGAGATTGCTACATCATACATCATACATTTTTATTATGTCCATTTAAGTTGATTGCTATACGTCATACATTTTTATTATGTCCATTTAAGACACAAGACTTGTCCTCTGTGGTGGCTTGACTATGGGCATGTGATTTGTACATATCGCCCAGCTGTATTTGCACTTGTAGTTTCTAGTTGTTGTGTCATGTTCTAGCTGACAAACTTAAACTCCCGAAACAACAACATCTACTGTAACATCCGTACTCTTGTTTCAGACCAGAGGTTCCCAATCTTTTCCTGCATCCCCTCACCCACCCTCCCTTCTGTAAACAGGACAGTCGTTGAGCCGTGCCCACATATTGACACATTCCCGGCTAATTCAGGTCTACTTTATCCAGAGCAGGGGGGGCTGTGTCCCCCTCTTGCAACAGATCTGCACCACCTGCAAGGACACACCCCACTTCGTAAACCACAGTTTAAAGACGAAAACGAATGATATAAAAAGTATAAAAAATAAAAAAAAATCTATATAAAAACATAAAGAAAACCAAATGTTCAATAATGCTTTTGTGAATAATTTCGAAATGGAAAAATAAAAATACAGCAATTACAAGTTGGTAAATTGATAAAAACAATAAGTGATTTTTCAGCAATTTAGAATAGAATTCACATGTATGCATTTAGTAAAAACTTTTATCCAAAGTAACTTACAAGAGAAGGATTAACAATCAAGAATGTGGTTTCTCTGGGAATCGAACCCATGACACTGCTTCGAAGGCAGACATGCTAATTGCTACACTATGGAACTCTTTGGTAGCCGTTATTTAAACCCTGAAGATTTTTTTCTGATTTTTTTTTTTTTTTTTGCTGTTGATTAAAAGGCAAGCGAACACATTTTTATGTTTTAATTTTTAATTGTGTAAAATGAGAAATAATATTGACAACCCAATGATTATAAGTCGCTCTGCTCCCCAGCTCTGGAACTCTCTACCCCCCCGTCTTGAGGAACATCAATTCACTCCCACAATTCAAGTCTGCACTTAAAACTCATCTGTTTAAAACTGCCTTCTCCATCTGATGTTTCACTGCTGTATTTTAACTTGTTCTTAATGTTTTAATGTTTAATTGTTTTATAATGTTGTGTTGTTATCTTTGTATTCACTGTAAGGTGTTCTTGGGTGACAGAAAGACACCTATAAAATAAAATGTATTATTTATTAGTATTATAAAAACGGCAATTTTAGACTGAATCACAGAAAGAAACACAACTAAAGATTATAAAAATGGTCCAAATCAATAAATTCCTAAATAATTAAGCAATAGATGAATTTAGCAAAAACCATATGATGAAAGCCCAATCAAGCTAAGTTTGGCCAGAAATAAAAAAAACAAAATCTCACAGGTAGTAACAGCAACAAAAAATTCCCAAAAAATATATATTTTAAATGTTATGGTTAAAATATAGCCTCAAACTAGAATCAATTTAATACTTAAAAAAAAAATTTAATTGAAAAAACTGAAATTTGCAAAATTCGGATTTGCGTGAAAGTTACATGTGAAAAATTAAATTGGGAACAATTGGATTAGTTTAGTAATTAAAAGAAATGCTAAATATGCCAATATGGGCCACTTGTAATCTAAGGAGACCCACAGGCTTTTTCCACTTAACTCATAGGCACAAACGTGGCATTAAACTTTTTTTGTATTAAAAAAAAAACATTATATACAAATACAAAACAATTTGAGTAAAATTAATTTTTTGTTGAGGGGAATGCCTGAGTATCACTTTATTGCAAAAAGATCAAGTTAAATTTGAGCTAAATAAGATTTGTGTGTATATATTACTTTGATGTATCACAGAATATACTGTATTTCAGTGTCCATTAGATCATGTTTTCATGACCATTTTGATCATTTCTTAAAAAAAGGTATTGTGATCTTTCAATTGTTGGCCAATTACTCACTGGCATAAAAGAGCCGGGTCCCGAGACAGAACCATTGAAGAATCATTACTTTACTGAATCATGTGTGTGTGTGCGTAATATTGCAGTCAGTGTGTCTGGCTGTAGCAGCACTTCATTACTGGCAGTTCTCTTTGTTTTGCCAGTTTGATATGTGCTGCTTCTGTCTGACAGACACTTTTCTGCATAACATGTCAGTACTTTAACCCCCCTTTCTCATGATGCACATAAGTGAATTATTGAAAAATAAGTTTACTATACAAACCTCAAAGCTGACTTGACCACTGTGTTTAAATAGTAGTTCTTCTGAAAATAAATATTAAAGACCAGCATCTAAAAAAATTAAATGTATTTGATTTAATTTGTTAAATTCTTGAGGTTTAATTCAATGATGCCTCACACTTCTCTTACATCCATCCATCCATCCATTTTCATCCTCTTATCCGTTACCGGGTCGCGGGGGCAGCAGTCGCCACCCAAATCACAATGCACCGTACCAACCCCCCTAAACCTTCCTGCGGGTGGTGAGTCCACTGAATTTGAACTTGCCCAGGAGGTGAACCGTGGGGTTCTTCTCTTACATGATAACATGTAATATTGCATCTAATATGTAATTAATAAATACAGAATGTATATATATATATTTTCTATTACTTTATCATTCACAAGTTTCAGTCCTGTTTAGTAGAATAGGATGCCAACAGCAGAAGATAAAAGACTTGTCACACAAATTGACTCTGGTCATATGTTGACTATTAGTACTACATAGGACCCCTCAGGTGTCTGATATAAACTGAAATCACAGAAATTGAGTGTTGTCTTTTTGGGGGTGGACGGGGCGGGGTTGTTAGCGGATTTTCTTTTTTCTCTTTTTGTATTTGAATCTTATTTCAATACTTAACAGCTGGTAATGCCATTATGTGTATTATTAGTACTTGTGTATTATGTATATTTATTACACATGAAGCGAAATATTTCGAGCTTTTATTTCTTGTTAATCATTTTGATCATTATGGCTAACAGATAATGAAAACCCCAAACTCAGTGTCTCAGGTAATTAGAATATTGTGAAAAGTTCAATATTAGAAACTCACGGTGTTACAACCTGAGTAGCCTATTAACTTGAAAGACCTGCAAAGGTCTCTCAGTCTGGGTCAATGGGCTCAAGCTCAAGTAAGCTCACAATCATGGAGAAGACAACTGACTTAACAGATGTCTAAAAGATTCAAAAAAGAGAGAATTAAAACAAGAGCCATCATTGACGTCCCTCACTAGAAGGGTAAGCCCTAAAACGTCATTGCTTAAGATACTGGGTGTTCAGAGTGCTGTATCCAAACGTATTCATAAAAATTGAGTGGAAGGAAAAGGTGCACCAGCAAAGTAAATAACTGCTGTTTTTGGTAGGACTGTCAAGCACATACATTCAATATGGATGAAGTTGGAGTCAGCACATCAAGAGCCACTATGCAAAGAGAAATCCTAGAAATAAGGTGCAAATGTTGCATCCTTAAAGTCAAGCCACTCGTGAACCAGAGACAGTGGCAGAGGCGTCTTACCTGGGCTGGACAGAAAAAGACTGTCCCAGAGTATGGAAGGAGGGAGGAAGAGAGGAACAGAATCCACCTTGCTCCAAGTCCAGTGTGAGGTTTCAGTCAGTGATTTGGTGGTATGTCACCTGATGGTGTTTGTCCACTGTGTTTTCTGAAGTCCACGGTCGACGCAGCCAATTGCCAGGAAATGGTACAGCACTTCATGCCTACTTCTGCTGACTGAAGCTTAGTGGAGATGCTTATTTCATTTTCCAGCAGGACTTTGTACCAGCCTACTCTGCCAAAGGTACCAAGAGCTGGTTCGATGCCCAATGTTAGTTATTCAGTTTAGTCCTCATCTTGACACACAGGCAGGCCGCAAAAGACAGGGGTCACATAATCCATGCACAAAGAGGCCCACCCAAGTACTGCGTGAATAGATATATATACAGTGCATACTTTTCAGAAGCCTGACATTTTTAAATTCATCTTACTAAGTTTTGTATATGTATATATATGTATGTAGTACATATGTATATATCTATGTATATATATATTACATATGTATATAACTATGTATACATATATTAAAGTGAGTCACTTTTTGCGATGATCGACAAAAAGTATTGAAATATTTCATGATATTCACATTTATTTGCAATGCATGTTTATACAGTATATTTGAAATATTCTTATATATGGCAAAAAACCCCACAGATTTCACACATCAATCAGGAAGGCTGTTGAATTTTGGTAGAATATACCAATTTTGAATCCAGTCCACCAAAGACAAAAAGACGGCATTGACAAGACAATTATCTACTTTTTATAAATATTTGACAAAATAAGACTACAATGTTTTGGCCCTAATTTTAAAGCAGCTTGAAAACTGTTGCCAGCATATGTGATTGTATTTTTATAAACACAGGTCTTAACTACAAAACAACATGCACAATTACTAGACGGAGACAGACTATTTAAGTCGTATAAATGAGCGTCAAATGTACGCATGTGGACAAGTAACAGGAAAAGTACAACTTGACCACTTAAACTAATACTGTAAATACTCAGTGATACATTTACTACAAAAGTTTCCACGACAAAATAGACTTGACTTTAAAACCAACAAAGCAGTCGATGCATTTCTTTTTTATTCCGCTTCATGAATTGTCTTTTTAAAAAATGTCAGAAAGATGTGAAATTTAAATTGGTCTTCTCCCAGTCTGTGGTATTTCTCCCTCCCAATAAAACAATCCATTAATTGTCCATGTAAAGAGGGCACAGGAAGTGATGTCTTAACAGGAGAGCAGAGGGAGATCACTGGAATTTATGATGAGGCTTGAATCCAGGTTCAGGCTGTCTGTGGGTACAACATAAAGCATAGCAAATTTTACAGAATGTACATCGTAACACAGTGGACAGTACAGGACAGCACTAAAATGATTCCATTCCTCCAGCTGCGAGAATTCACCAACATGTCTGTGAATCAGACTTTTGTTTTCTAATTCAGTGGACCCAAACTTTTTTTTGAATCAAGGACCAGTTGGCCCTGACCGGTCAAGCTGTCCAGTCAACTGGGTAAGCAACTTCTATGGAGATGACTGACGGTCATCTTGACAGTAGTCTTAGGTTCGGTATTTGTTAAGAATCTCACAATTCAATTCGATACAATTTCAATGAAATATTTATCTGAATGCTTCTATATCAATGCAGTATCTAGTAGAAAACGAGAGTAGAAAGTAGAAAGAGTTGCATTGTGTATTTGTAGATTTAGAAAAGGCATGCAACAAAGTGCCAAGAGAGGAATTGTGGTTTTGTATGAGGAAGTCAGGAGTGGCAGAGAAGTAGGAGTGGAAGGACAGAAGACTTCAAGGTGGAGGTGGGACTACATCAAGGATCGGCCCTGAGCCCCTTCTTGTTTGGTTTGGTGATGGATAGATTGACAGGTGAGGTTAGACAGGAGTCCCCATGGACTATGATGTTTGCAGATGACCTTGTGAGCTGATGTGAGTGTGGGAAGCAGCTAGAAGAGAATCTAGAGAGGTGGAGGTTTGCACTAGAAAGAAGAGGAATGAAGGTCAGCTGCAGCAAGACAGAGTACATGTGTGTAAACGAAAAGGTGAACAGTGAAATAGTGAGGTTACAAGGAGCAGAGGTGGTGAAGGTGCAGGAGTTTAGGTACTTAGGATCAACTGTTCAGAGCAGAGGAGAAGGGAAAGGTTTACAGGATGGCGCTGAGACCAGCCATGATGTATGGTTTAGACTAGAGACATTAGCAATAGGCAGAAGACAGGAGGAGGAGCTGGAGGTGGCAGAGTTAAAGATGCTAAGATTCTCTTTAGGAGTGACAAGAATGGACAGGATCAGGAATGAGGTCATTAGAGGGACAACACAGACAGGACAGTTTGGAGAAAAAGCTAGAGAAGCCAGATTGAGATGGTTTGGACATGGGCAGAGGAGGGACAGTGGATACATTGGGAGAAGAATGTTAGAGATGGAGCTACCAGGTAGGAGACAAAGAGGAAGACCAAAGAGGAGATATATGGATGCAGTGAGGGAGGACATGCAGATAGTTGGAGTCAGAGGAGAAGATGCAGAGAACAGCGTAAAATGGAAAACAATGATTCGCTGTGGCAACCCCTGAAAAAGGGACAAGCTGGAAGGAAAAAAAGAATAAGTGTTTATTTTATTGTTTAATTTAAGTATTTAACATAATTTCCGAACTATTGAGCACACCTATAAGCTACACCCACTAAATTCAAAAAGAAAAAAATAATTGTACATATAAAGGCCACACTTCTCTATAAGCCACAGGTGTCCACGTTGTAACATGGGATATTTATATATATACTTTTTTTTTTACTTTTCATTAAATAAATGCTTTTTTCCAAACAGTGCCTGTAACACGGCTGGTTACATGTTAGCTCTTTCCTGCTTCAGCACCCCGATCGTAGTTGGAATGCCCAGGGGAGACTTAGTGATCTGCTCCAGTGCCGAAGCTAACATTAGCTCCAGGGCTAACTCCCTTTACTTTGTGCTTGTCCGCAGCAGAGGTAAAGGAAAACAGGGAAGTGGGGGACAGTTCAGACATACGCTACTAGTATAAATCACAGTAGCCTACGAGAAAACTAATTGTTCGCCAGCGGTATGAACTTCATTAGCCCGTAAAAATCCATAAATTAGCAGCATCATTGTTTAAGCTGCATGGTTCAAAGTGTGTGAAAAAAGTAGCGGCTTATAGTCCGGAAATTAGGGTATTGGAGTTTATATGAGAATGTAAACGTAATTGTATTTTATTTCACTGTCTTTTTATTGTTGTTTTGAAAAAAAGGCACTTAGTGACAGTATTGAAAATAAATGGACAGATTGCAATACACCCACCTACCTTCGGACCTTTGACTCCTGCACTTGTCTTTTTAGACCTTAATATTTGCTTAAATACCAGTTCAGAAAAATTCACCTTGATCAAAGTTGTTGAGCTTTTTGGAGTTGGACACTTCACATAGTCCTTCAATGTCTACGAGGTCGCTGTTGACGTCTGAGTCATTTAAAGCACTCAGGGTCACGTCTACACACACACACACAAACGTAAGAATCGTCACTTTACAAACATTGTTACACAGACTATACTAAAAAACAAACTGCTGTAAAAAGTTAATCATTGATTGACAATTTGTGACCAATAATTGTTAGCAATCGTGACTTCGTACTGTTGAACTTACTTGCTGTCTTCTGTTTCTTTAATGGGGCAGTGTTGGGGCCAGGACTTTGAAATCCAGTGGCCAAAACCACCTGAGCTGTGGATCCAGAAATGACACTGGGTGTGGACACAGCAACAGTGGATTTTTTAGTGACCTTCTTTGTCCTGTCATTGGAGGGAGGCGCCAGAGCTCCGTCTTCATACAGCTTCCTCTTGACTGTGCTCTTAGCATGACCACTAGAGGAAGAACAGGAAGTAAAGTTGTTTAATGGTAATGGAATGAAGCCTTCACTAACACATGCTGGGCATTGAGATTATATTTTAAGATCCAGTGGCAGCTTGCACACCGCCAGGGGTATTCGCGCTACACTTTAGGCATCATTGTATTAGAGCAACGACAAGTGTATAGACGGAGAAATAATAGGATATCCACTGTTGGGCATGTCTAAAATGTTCACGGCTTACAGTTTACAGTAAGCAAGTACCAATAAATCCAGCCAAAGTGTTTTTCCACAAATGAAACAGTTCTTAATAAGCTTTATCAAATACTCATCAATGTACTTTGTAAAAACACATTTATTAGGTTACCCTGTAGGACTGGAATCCACCACTGGATGCAGCTGCATTGTGAGCTCTCCTAGTTTGGTGAAGGCAGCTCCAGCTGCCGAGAAGATCTCTCCAACCTGGAAGAAAAAAATTTTTTTTCTTCAAATAATCACACAACAAGGAGAATTTATATGTGAGACTTCAAGGGGAAGTTGCAGGGTTTTTTTTAATTGTGTTTATCAGCATTGACCATGTAAGCTTTCCTAAGCTTTCCTTCCCCTGGCATGTAGATGGTGCCTAAGCTACTATTCAAACAACAACAACAAGTCTAAAGTTAGTATGAATCATATTAACTCGTAAACATCCATAATTTAGCAGCATCATTGCTTAAGCTGCAGGGTTCAAGGCATGTGAAAAAGTAGCAGCTTATAATCTGGGAATTACGGTACTTTTGTAGCATCTTATAATCTGGGAATTACGGTACTTTTACTTAAGTACATTTTGACAAGTATTTTACTTCACTACATTTGAAAAGAACCCGATACTGAGTAAAAAATTAAATGCGTCAACTGAAAGAAAATTACATGGGCGTAAGCCGATTTCCCACTATTAAAATGTAGTCAGTTAACGCTGACTATGAGACTATGTGACTGTCATTGGATGTTGACAGGTGCCGAACCAAAAAAGGATGTTTTTTTTTTTTTTGGAGGTTGAGGATTGCCAAGCAGATAGCTCCGGTGGAGCAGATGACTCAGAAAACGAAAAGAATCCTTAACTATATTATGATGGTATTAAAGATAGGGTGAGGCACCTCATGTTGCAGCCAGGTCGTTAAACAACATCCGACATTCTAAGTTGTGTCAGAGTATTTGTATTTGAAGTTGCAGATTGGATGTATGATGATGATTTGTCCTTGCATCAAGTAATTTAAAAGGAACTTTTACTCAATGTAAATTTTAAATGAAGTATTTTGTACTTTTACACGAGTAGATTTTTAGGTGGGTATCTTTACTTGAGTAGTGTTCAAACAAGGTAAAGATACTTTGACTTATTCCAGTTTTTAGTACTTTTTTCAAATTGGCTATTCCCATGACCTGTCATGTGGCAAGAGGAACAGACTAATGTACTGCTCTCCTACTGAGGAAGAATAGCGACTTTTTAAACTAAGATGCCTTTCACGCAAATAAATGAGTAATATACCACGCTGGGTGTCAATAAAATGGCAATAATTACAGAGTATTTTGCGATATTCTGCCCAATATTATGTCTTTTTTTTTTTGGCAAAAGGATGGGCTCAATCTGATCATTATTTCAATGAAGCAGTGAAACATGTTAAACATTTTGTAATAGTTATGATGTGGGAAATGCTAGTAAAATTGTTGCAATATTAAATTTGACTCTCCTTTTTTCTATTTTTGATCACTATATACACTATCACTTAAAAGTTTGGGGTCTCTTATTTTTTGAAGAGAGAGCACATTTTTAATCCATGAAGGTAACTTTAAATTAATCAGAAATACACTCCACACATTGTTAATGTGGTAAATGACTATTGTAGCTGCAAACATCTCGTTTTTAATGGAATATCTGCGTATACAGGCCTGATTCTAGAAACCATCACTCCTATGTTCTAATGGTACATTGTGTTTGCTAAATATGGTTAAAAAACCCATTGTACAATTATGGCAGCACAGCTGAAAACTATTTTGCTTGTTAGAGAAGATATAAAATTGGCCTTCCTTTCAAACCCATTGTACAATTATGGAAGCACAGCTGAAAACTATTTTGCTTAGTTAGAGAAGATATAAAATTGGCCTTCCTTTGAGCTAGCTGAGTATATCAGGCATCATATTTGTGGGTTGGAATTATACTCTTAGAACAGCCAGAAACTTTCATGTGAAACTGAGCAGCTTATTCTTGTTCTTAGAAATGATGGCTATTCCGTGCGAGAAATAGCCAACAAACTTGATAACATGGCAGCTTATTCTCTAGAAATAATGGCTATTCCATGTGAGAAATAGCCAACAAACTTGATAACATTGCCTAAAACAGTGTGTACTACTGCCATTAGAGAACAGCACAAACTGGAGTAGAAAGAGAGGTGGGAGGCCCCGGTCCACAACTGAGCAAGAATACAAGTTAATTAGAGACTTTAGTTTGAGGTCCTCAACTGGCAGCCTCATTAAATGGTACCCCCAACATCTACAGTGATGAGGTGACTCTGGCATCCTGGTCTTCTAGGTAGGAGTGGCGAAAAAGCCATATCTGAGGTTAGCCAATAAAAGAAAAGATTAATATGGGCAAAGGAACACATACATTGGACAGAGGAAGATGTAATGGAGTGCCCAGCTCAGTCAGCAGATCCCAACCCCATTAAGTTGTAGTGGTTGCAACTTGACAGCATTGTACGCCAGAAATGCCCATTAAGTCAATGTGGGAAGTACTTTAGGAAACAACGTCCTTGTCTCGACTATATGATATATGCATTTTCTAACTCTTTTTTATACAGTAAAAGTGTGGGTTTTAATGGAAAACACAAAATTTTGTGTGACCCCTAAACGTTTAAACGGTAGTGTTTATACAGCATTGTTTTATCGGCAACACAAAATTGCTGCGAAGGTTTGTTATGAAGATTATATTGATTATTGTTTGTTTTTTTTCTTAATATATTCGACAGATTTTACCGGCGGTTACAATAGTGTATACCTCGTTCTTTAAACACTCTTGTGGCGGTAGCAAATATGATACAGCGAAGTACTGTATGGATTGTACTATATTTTAAGTTCAGAACGGAAATTGCACTGTTAAAAATCTGTTTTAATCAACTGGCCGTAGAAATTCTTCCCACAATTTTTCAAGTATACTTTTCCTTAAGCTTCTTCTCTCCCAACATCTTAAAAAAATAATTTGCAGTTAAAGCAGCGCAGACGGTAGCTGTTTTATGCCTTTGTTAGCAAACTTTCCGTCGATATTTAAAAAAGACCATATACTTACTTTAGTTGACGCTGACGTCATTGTGCTTATTGTGCGGTAAGCAGTCCTTGGGTCCCTTTGACAGGGTAGTTACGATGCTAAGAGTTGAAAAGCATCAGTGATTGGAGCTAAGGTGCTTACAGCCCAAAAGCAGCGTCTGCGTGAGCGGCTGTTGCTACGCTAACATTGCTGCTCATTTGCTCACACAAAAACAGAAAATCTATAATAAAACTGGACGACGCGACCAAAGCTAATACACGGCAAGTGCAAAACAAGAATTAGGTTGTTTTTGGATACCTACAGTTATAGATGCTCTTTAACGGAAACCCCATGAATTTTAGGTCGTAGAGCAACTTCCTGTTTCCGCAATTACGTAAGGTCCTTAGTTTGTAGTTTTGTATTCTATTTGTAATATATGCTGTATGTAAGTAAGAAAATATTTAATATAACATTATAACAATTTATTGACGTCTCTTTGGTAAAAAAAATTGAAATACAAGTATTTTTTTCTTTTGAATGTCTATCCTTTTCGTCCTACGGTAAAACAATCTTCTTTTTTCTCTATCCTTTTCGTCCTACGGTAAAACAAAACATCTGAATACTACAGTTTAGTAGTCTTTTACAACATTTTTCAATAGTCTCATATAATTTGTTTCAATTATATCACGTCATGGAAAAGTCGTCAAAGCTGTTTTTTTCTTTCTTATTGATATGTCATATCAACAAGCCTTATGTGCAACATAATATATGCCTTTTTCATGTCAATGAACACTAGAGCCACTGTTTCCTTTTTAAGATGTGATTTCCTGAAATACTTTGTGCTTTCTTCTTGATTGTGACTGATAAGAAATTATGTGAATCAGTGGAACAACATCCATAGGTTAAAATATTAAATATTAAAAAAAAGGTATGTGTCTTCTTGATTTCTGCAAAGGCAGGCAGAGGTATATTTGTGATTCTATATGTAAATGTGAATGGACAAAAAATATATAGACCATAAAACATTTATATCTACTTAAGATAAGATAAAACATTACTAAAATGGAGAAATTCAGCACTTGCTTTTCCTAGTGATCAATGACCTGGTAGGCTTTGTGTTATACTAGTAGTGTGTGTCTGTCTGTGAGTGGCTTTGTGCGTATATATGTGTGGGGGGAGAGAGAACGGAAGTGAAAGTTGAGAGCAGTTTGAGCCCTGTCATATTGAAGCGTGAGTTGGTTATACAGGAGATGTTAAAACACTGTTTATGTTCTGTTATGCTCAGTGTTGCTGATAATAAAGACCCCAACTTCCCTGTTTCTGTTTACCTCTGCTGTGGACAAGCACAAAGCGAAGAGAGTTAGCCCTAATGAGTTAGTGGCTAATGTTAGCTTCAGCCCTGGAGCAGATCACTAAGTCTCTGCTGTGCATTTCAACTACGGTTGGGGCGCTGAAGCAGGAAAGAACGTGTAACCAGCCGTGTTACAGGCACTGTTCGGGAAAAAAACATTAATTTAATTAAAAGTGAAAAAAAATCTTTCTGTGTAAATATCTCATGTTAAAACATAGACACCTGCAGCTCATCGAGAAGTTTGGCATATATACTGTATGTACAATCTTATACACCTACAGGCAAAACATTAATTTAATTAAGTGACACAGACACCTGCAGCTCATCGAGAAGTGCGGCATATATACTGTATGTACAATCTTATTTTTCTTTTTAAATTGAATGTGTGCGGCTTATATTCAGGTGCGCTTAATAGTCCAGAAATTACGACACTTTAACAAATACACTGTAATTCCTAGTAAACATCTTATTTCCCTGTACAAAGGAGATAGTGTGTCCTACCAACTGTGGAACAACTGAAGAAGAACACTGAAATTGAAATTCAATTTCCCTGCCATTACCGGACCCTGTTTTGGAACCAGTGTACTAAGGTTATGATACAGTGAGGAAAGTAACATTGTGAATGAGTAATTGGACGTGTTTTAAACCTAAAGTCGACATCATTTGTTAACTTGATGCTTGGGGCAACAAGAGATGTGCCTGACTGCGCACACCTCTGGATTTTACCCATCACCAAAGCTCAAGCACCTGGGAAGCGTGGGCCGGTGCCATGCTCAGAGCACCTCAGTGGCAGCTGGTGGACTTGAAACTGAAACCCTCCAGACCCAAGTCTGCTTCCTTTGCCACCAAGCCAACACATTAATACTGGCCAATTCTGCAAATCAGAGTGGTGAGTCAGATAGTTGGAACCCTCTTGAGAACCTAAGGATTGCCGCAGCCACTGCCGTTGTCCCTTTAGTCACTGTGCTTTCAGATGACATGTTAAATATGTGTAAGATAAAGACATTAATAATCGGAGAAACTCACTCTGGTGTCCTGTACCTCGTCTTTCATTTACTGACAACTTGCTCCTCCATTTTCTCTAATCACTGTGGTTTGCCTAGTCTTTCAGCTTTTTTGGTGGGTGGGCCTGAGGCTTATAGCATTTGGTCACAGCTTCGGCAAAAGGAATGCAGAAGTGACAAGACACACATGCATGCAAAGAGAAAACAAAGGTTACATCAGAGGTATGTTTATTAATTTATTGTATTTATAAGTAAACTTTCGATTAGTTCATCATTAGCCTGCACTGTGTTAATTTATTTGTGTCTGTGCTGTTTTTGCCTTTTAGGGCAATATTTATGTTCCTTATTATGTTTGCCCTTGGTACAGCTATACTGGTACAGAGCAGTTTTGGTAGTATTTTGACTGTACTTTATAATTTGCATCATACGTGACAAGAAATAAGTTTATGTCTCTACTTTCTAAATAAAAAAGTTCCTCAGTATATTTTTAATGGTGACAGACTGACAGGCAATAAATAAAATAAACTGTGGGGTCCCCCAAGGCTCTATTTTAGGTCAAATCCCCTGCTTGCTTCCACTTAGCAACATCATCAAGACACATGGTTTAAATTCTATAGCTACACTGATTATACACAGCTCTCTATCGTGTTTCCCGAAGACACAAGGCCACCTGATAATCTCAGCAACAAAACAGAAGTCTTAATTATTGGTCCTAAAACCAAGATTACGAGACCTTAAACCATATGTGTTAAACTCAAGGCCCGTTTTGTGTGGCCGTGTACCACCCGTTACCCATGGCCTATTATTTTAAATATTGCCAGATTATCTTTAAATAAAAAATGGATATGAAATGGACTGGATTTTCTTTGAATGAAGTAAATTAGTAAAAATTAAGTACATTTTTTCACTGTGTCCCACTGCGGCCCAGTACCAAATGACCTATTGACTTGTAATGGTCCACGAACCAGGGGTTGGGGAACCCTCATCTGTACAGTCTTCCATTTACAACTGGCCCTTCAAGGGGAACTGTAATGCTGATGTGGCCCCCGGTGAAAATGAGTTTGACACCCCTGCCTTAAGCCCTCATGTGTCAAGAACCTGATTTTTATAATGGAATAACATAATTTATATATGTGTGTTTAGAGTGACAGACAGTCCTAGGTGCATCATGGAAGTTGCCCTTAACAGACTAGGGCTATAGCAACCCAGCCATGGCCTCTTTGAGGATTCAGTATAACTAAATCCTGTATTAAAAAGGTAAGGTTATAAGCAGGGGAGCGCACTAAGTTGCTATCTACAAGTAGATAGCAAAGGCAGTACTAGCAAATCACGAGAAGTTAAAACTAAATCCTAAAATATAAACAAAAATTCTACAGTTTATAGTGGTGACCATATACTGTAAGAATTGAATGCTCTAGAGCTACATGCATCTAATCTGTACCCCAACATATACCGTAATGTATTTCTAGAGTATTTACTGTTTGTATAAGTTAATATAATATAATATAGTATATATAGTCAATGTTTCCATTGTAAGATCACTTAAGCTTGGTCATTTGTAAAGTAGCTTCCAAGCCATGTCAATTTGCAGTTTTCATAGTTAGCTAATTTACTATATTCCTTTGGGGGATGAGGTAGTGAGGTTGCAAAAAATCGACAAAATCATCATGTGATATAGAGTAGAATTCTAACCATTTTCAGTTGTAGTGACGCATTACAGTGAAATAAGTAGTTTATTTTTAATTTTTTTGTTGTTGTGTTTTATTTTCTTGATTTTTTTTCAGGCTGAAGCTGGCACAGTGTTAACCTTAATACAATGGCAAAGAACAGAAAACCCATGTTGCTTCTATCCTATAGGCTATTGATAGGCAGTTTTGTTATCATGATGGTCTTCAACAGACATGACGTTTCACAAAAACAGAGAGGTAGACCGTGTGTGCTCTGTGTGTCATTGCTGTTCAGTTGCTTACTGTGTTTTTTAACTTTAACTTTTTAACTTTATACCTCCTACCCATAAATCCGCCCCTTCAGATGATGTGATGTTACTACTGTGTTAACGTAGGCGAGTGACATTGTGACATTTCCTAATTTTCCAGAAAAAATAATGGATGAGGTGCAGGAGGAGAGAAAACAGCTAATCAAAGAAATGTGGAATCACGACAAAAGAGTTTATTTGAAAGAATATATCAAAGATAAGAAGCACAACCACAACCTCCTGGTGGTTGAAACTAATGGCCTCATCTACTGTTATGTTCCCAAGGTGGAATCGCATACACACACACCTTCACAATTTAGTTTGTTATTTTTAGAAACATATACAATAGTAATTCCGGGTGATTATTAGAAACACTATTTTTCCTTACATTCAGAATAAACATCTTTACCTGTGCTAACATTAAACGCTGAAGCACTAGTGCTTAAACAAAATAACCTAATCCAGATTAATCCTGATAATTACAAAAAAATTATCCTTAAAGATACATTCAGTCCTATAAAATTATTTGGTAATCTTTTTGAACTAAATGTCCATTCATCCATCCATCATCAACCGCTTATCCGGGGCCGGGTCGCGGGGGCAACAGTCTGAGCAGGGACACCCAGACTTCCCTCTCCCTCGACACTTCCTCCAGCTCTTCTGG